GGCAGAATCTTCCATCCTACGACTGTTTCTTTCACTTTTCAGCGTTAACTGCTTAAGCTTTCAAATATAGCTAGGACGGTGTTATATCCATGTCTTAAACATGAGGTTACTTCTATTTTGCCGAGGAGGAAGCAGAAGAGTCGATGAGTCATCACTCGCCGCGAGCCGCGTGGCCCCCCCCCCAAATACGTTAGCACCGAATATGTTCTAATTCAATTCATGAAACTGAAAATGTATTCAGATTTGTGAATCATTTGTTTTTGAATTCTTACCCGACACACTTGCCTCAGTTATCAAGAAAGAAAAACTCGATGACACGGACATTAAAATTTATACTTGGCAATTATTTAACGGACTTCGATATTTAAGCCTGGTGAGCGATAAAATTTTTGAGAATACTTGGCTAATTTAATGACAGTGGGCGTTATGATATGGTGAAGGGTAGTGCTCCGTAGAAAGGGGAAGCACATTTCATGTCTCGGGTAAGGGGAGGGCGTGTCCACGCAGAGCTCGCATTAAAGGTTGTATGCAAGTAAGTTCGCTGCGGACGGTTGGGCGTGTCAGGCAGTATGAGTGTGTCACCCCGTCAAAGCCGTTCTCTGCCTTCTTGTTGAAGCGCGCATGCGACAAAAAGTGGTAGAAAACGAGTAATACGAACGATATGATACAGTATTGTCACTTGCTCGCTTTAACAACTGGTGGAGAACGGGTTTGGCACCGCGCCAAACTCATCCCGCCTGACACGCCCAACCGTCCGCAGCGAACTACACTATACATTTTTCACAGTTCAAAGCGACTTCACAACCCTACGACTGGGTGTTCCACCCACCAATTTCGCTTGCACCCACAAATGAATGCATCGAGCTCTTCCCAGCCACGCTCTAGTTCTTGGTGGAAGAGGCGGAGCGTTGCCTCAACTTTATCTCGTAATCGATTTTGGCATACTGGTAGGTAACCTGTCCACTTCCCGAGGACAGAATAGCGAAGTGGGAACCGCATTGGGGCGGGGGTTCCCAATTCGCTCGTTTTTGGCCGTGTTGAGCTTTCTCGCTGTTGCGCCAATCGGTAGTTCTTCCGCTTGCAACCGAGCCATATTACAGTGTCCACTGCATTTAAGTCAGTGCCACCATTCATATTTCCAAACGTTTCATTTCAGCATGAAATAGTTCATCGGGACATAAAGCCTTTGAATGTGCTCATAGATCACCCATTGGCTCTGTTAAAAATTGGCGATTTTGGTTCCGCAAAAATCATCAGAAAGATGACGAAATCAACAGCGTATCAGGTGTCGAGTTTTTTTCGACTGTTGTCTAGGAAAAAACAGAACTGCTGAGTAACTCAACAGTTCTGCTTTCCTGAACAAAAGAATTTATGAAAACAGGAAGAACTAATCCAAACAAAAAACTCTGGGCGCTTCTGCTTGGATCATAAGGGTTCGGGTAACCTCTGCGGAACGGTTCTTATCTTATCAAGTTGAGCAATGGAATGACAGCGGCATCCACACACGGTCACAGGAATACTAAAAATGAAATGAAAAAGAAAA